TCGTCTATCAATTATTAAGCGCTGTAAATGGATCAGAGTGTCTCACTGTATTCTTTCCATAACCTCCTCCATCACACCATAACTGCTGGATGGATTTTCCATTACGTATGAGATAGCAATCTTGCAGGATGTTTAAGCAATATCACACGAGAGGGAGTGATGTTGTGCTGTGATATCGTCATGGCTGTGATTCGGTCGTAGGTACGAGGCCGCAGGCCAAGTGCCGAAGTAAACATGAATGCTTACCAACTGTGCAAATGTTGTCACCTTTAACCGCTTGAAGATTTCATCTTTTCGATACCTGTAATCTGAAGAGAAAAAAAAGTGGAAAAGATAATGAAATATAAGAGAGTTTACAGGAGAAAGGAGCCTCAAAACACTGATGATGGTCTAAAAAGTATCTGATTTTAAATGGCCGCTGAAGCTGAAGACACCACAAAGTAGGAATATTCCTAACAGCTAATTTCCCTGATGTTCGACTAGTGGGGGTTGGGAGCCAGAGGGTCTCTCGTTCAAGTCCCTGTACGGACCAAGTATGGAGTGTGGACTGGTAGCTTGAGAGGGGCCAGTTCACCTCCTGGGCACTGCTGAGGTGCCCTTGAGCAAGGCACTGAACCCCCAACTGCTCGCGGTACCTGTCCATGCTAGCCCCCTCACTCTGACATCTCTCCCTTTAATGCATGTATAGGTCCTGTTTGTACATGTGTGTGTATTTCAGGCCTGTGTGTGTGTATGACAACAGGGTGAAAGAAATTTAATTTCACCTCGGGAACTTCTTCGTCTTGTCGTCTAAAAGTAAGTAAGAACAGTCGAAATTGAGCACAATATAATCTGTAATGTTATTAAATACTGTGAAAATGTTAAGAGCTATTTGAAATCGTTAATCATATTTTTCAATCACCAAATTGTTTCTTAAATGCTGCTGGCGCTTTGCACCGTGCATTTTGAAAACTGCACATTATCCTACAGAGCATGACAACAACCCGTAAATAAAATTTAACAAATAACATTTACTGATAAAACAAAATTTTACGGAAAATAAATCTTCGGAAATGTGCCTAATTATTACAGCAGTGTTTCATTGGGTGAGTGCCATTGCATACAATAGTAATTTTGATGCATTTAAACTGGTGCCAACGAGCAAGGGAGACAACGTTAAATTGTCTAGTCGACAAATTGTGCACATCTCCACCAAAATGTCAGTTAACGTCATAATCTAGTAAAACAACAGTGATAAAACTTCAGCCTTCGGATGCAGTCGTACTTCACACAACTCACCCGGGTCCTTCAGGACCTGCTTCTCCTCATCCTCCTCTAATGCTTCACTAAACCTCGGCTCTGCCCCGTGTGTTCCCATGCTGCCTCCCGGCCAAAGCTCCCACTACTGCACCCAAATCAGGCTGCTCAGACAGTTTTATCTGTGCTGCTGATACTGGAATTATCCACAGTGTGAACTCGCTACAGAAGCTAACACTTTCCCAAAGACCCCTGCTGGCACCTGACCAGCACGTCCCCATAGTGTGTGTCCAGTCACACAGAGGGACACCTGTGGACAGCAGCACAATCCTCCATTAGAGACTGAAGGAATCAGTGTCACTTATCCGTGAGAAATCAGAGGACAGGTCAACACAACATGACCACTGCCCACAAAGAACTTCTTTAACTGGGAAATATCACTGGGTCAGAACTTCTCCAGTTTACCTCTGAAGTACACGGCAGACGGAGAAGACAAGCCAACGGATTCATGGGAAAATTAAGAGCCAAATCCTATCTTCAGTGTAGCAAATAGTCCTCAGCTAGATACTCTACACTAAGAAAAAAACCCTGACAGTAGGAGGGCTTGTTCAGCTGTAACAGGATCAGGTGTGAGGTTTACACAGTGCTGCCAAACTGGAGTATCTGATCCACCTGTTCACTTTAGAGCAGATTGGAAAGTGTTTATAAGACGTTAATGGAGTGAACTGATGTCATGGATCCGACAGTGTACAGCAGTGTAGTGTCCTGCTGGACAGAGACACTATTCTGTTCTTACTGGGTCAGAACTGTGATCCAAGCTGCTGCATGTGACCGTGTGAAGTGTCCTTTAGGAAGACACTTAAGTTATTAGTTTTATTTTCAGTGTATAATCTATCTATCTATCTATCTATCTATCTATCTATCTAATGCCACTAAATCCCCCTTAATATCACACTGGGTGTGTTCCTAATCCTTATCCTTAAAGTATGTACTGTTGCATATAGTATGCTCACAATCAGGTGATACTACTGTCTCATAACATCACACCCTAAACTTTGACCGTCTTAATCATATATCTGTTACCATGGAGATATAACAAAATGCTGTCTACCGAGCTCACCAGAGCCGGACAGCTGGCAATCTGGACAGCTCTGATGGTGTGATTTTGCAAAGGAAAAACTGCATACATTGTTGATTCTAATATACTTGCCATAGCAAAATTAAATGAGCTGTAACTTTCTCTGTCATTGTTATTTAACACTTCTGCCCTTTTGTTGTTGCTTAGATTTATGATTATTTTATTCAATGAAACAATTAATATTCCTATTACAATTCAACTGGTCATTAGTTCCTCGAATGCGCTGCCATCCGTCATTGTGACTCCTCACAGCTGTCAGTGGAGGATTGTGGGTCAGAACAGCCAGAAAACCATGCTGACTTGCATTCTGCAAAATCTGACCAGATGTAGTAAAACATCCTGGTATCATTGGCACACTGCGTTTGACATGCTATGTATTGGGTCATACTAAATCTTGTTCTGGCATACTGTATAGTATGTTAGTGTGGGGACTGGAACACAGACTGTTCATTTAAATATCTGAGCTGCATGAGTGCATCAAACAAAGTGCACAGAAGGGAACAGAACATGACATCTATAGATGGATGTACATTTATTTGCCAGCTCAGACCCCTCTTTAAAACATTTACTTACTTTTTTTAATCTCCTCCAGTCTCTCCATGTACTTTGTCAGGCTGCATCCTGTCACATAAACATGACAGTTCATATTCATAACAAAGCATTTATGAATCATTACAGTCACATAGATGTAAGGTTACATATGAACATGGATAAATTACCTGTGTCCAGCCTGGTTTTGACATGTTGATACTTTTCATTTCTCGGTATCCTTTTCTTCATGTACTGTAAAGAAAACACAACCATGTGTTTGTATTAGCTGTGTGACCACACACAAAGACCGGAAATCACATTTTAACGGTAACGTTATTTAACTTTACGGCCCGTTAGTTTTCAGACAGAGCTAACTAGCTAACGATGTCATGTTCACAGGTGCACTGTGGTTGATATGGTAACTTAACACTGACCACAGCTAACATGCTAACCTGCTAGGATTGCTACATTAGTTCATGTAGCATGATGCTATGACGTGTAACATGATGTTATCGACAGTTTAAAATAACCAGTTAGCGGATAAATATTAACCGTAATGCGGTCATTTAACCACCGTTACCTCCACACTGCCGATGCCCTTATTGAACGACATCTTTTCAAACCGAAATACCAAACATCAACTTTTAACTTTAACAATCTCGGTGCTGGTTGGTCCGAGCTGTTTCACCGACCAATCAGAGAAGCCAGTACTGCACCGCTTCTCCTCCACGGCAGCTATCTATGATATGGCAGGCTTGTTGCTTAGCAACGAAAGACGCTCCACCTTCATTACATGCTGCATTCAGGTCCCATATATATAACCGGGCTGTTTTTAGTTCACAACATTTTTAAATAATAATAATAATAATAATAATAATAATAGAAATAATAATAAATAACAATGCGCGGTACGCTACAATGTTAACACTAATACTTAAGATATTCACAATAAAATATATATCTTCACTCTGCTGAGTCTGTTAATTATAATAATAACAACAACAACAACAACAATAATAATAATAACATCTTTGTCCATCTCATTACTTTGAAAGTACATTGAATTGTAAATTGTAAACTGACTTGTTTGCCCAGGTTTTCTAGTTTTATACAGTTGAACATCCACACAAAATATTGTGGCATACACACAGTGATAAAACAAATGGCAGGTTGTTATGTAATAATAATAATAATAATAATAATAACAATAATTATAATAATAATAATATTTGATACAATATGTTAAACAAAACCTCTTTAACTTTATTATTAAGGCAAAATTCGTCCCTTACAAGCCAATTAATTTCATCATAAAGTTTTTAGTTATCAATTGACAAAACAACATTTCTGACTTGTTGGCAGCTCTTTGAGGGGTGTTCATACACTCTACCCTGATCGTCATTAATCATAACCTGCTAATATGATATTCATATTTTGTTTCCTGTTTTGCTTAAATGAGTTTTATGTGTTTATATTTGCTGCAGGCTCACCTTACAAGTCAGTTTGCAGAGCCTTGATTAATAAGATGTAAAGTCAAATTTCCCAGTGGGTTATCATTCTTATAATCAATCTTTTTTTTTTTCCCAATAATTCTTTATTGAGCTTTGCAAATACAAACAAACAAGGGACATTTTCACGTCCTGTTGCTCAGGTATCATTTGTTTTAGGCTGAGCCAAGTAAAGTTAATCACATACAAAATGAAGGAAATCGAACAATAAAAGAAAATAAATAAACGTAACATATATAGATATATATAAACGACACAAAAGAAAAACAGAGCTATCTCAAATGAATTTAAAAATCTATCATACTGAAAACAGGAACTTTCTTGTCTTTAACAAGTTTCCGTGACTTACTATAAACTTTAAACTCATTCTTAGAATGCTTCAGACATGGTTTAGTCTTAAAGTATCTACATTTATGAATGAAAAACTCCCCCAGTAATATAATAACACATTATTAGCAACTTGATGTTAGCGAGAGTGCTATCGGATACTCACATGTCCATGTTTTCATATGTTTCCTGAATGCAGCACTGCTTTCTCCGTTGCCACAGGTGTTCACCTCAGACCGTTACAGGTGGTCGCTTATTTATGGTTACCTGTAGAAGGAGCAGGCGTTATTGTGCTGCTGGTACAAACAGTTTTCACTCAGAGTTCATAAAGTGTAAAGTAAACTAATGTCCAGAGGAGCAGAGGACGGTTTACTCTGAGCTCGACAGGTCAGGTCTGAGACAGTCAGTGAAGGCGGACTGTTTGACAATCATGGAAGTGTCGTTACAGAGCAGCAGGACGGTCCAACTTTCCCTCTAACTCTTTAAACAAATGTCCACAATGGCGTCTGTCCTGGTGAGTACATGTGCTTTATAAAGTCTGAGGAGACAAAAGTGTTTTTAATCTGATAACGAACTCTGTGCTAACGTTAGCTGAGTCGGCGAGTTTGCTAGCAGCGTCCCTGCTAAGAGGATTTGGAGCTGTCAAACACACCCTCGGTCCTCTGATCAATCTGTACAGCACAGTAGATTTGTCTGGTGGTGTTTAATGTTCTTCAGCTCTTCTGCTCAGTGTAATGTATCTTTAAAAACTTGAACTAAACGCCACCATGTTTGGTCTGCTCAGAGAGTTCCTGCCCTCCATTACTACAGTATCAACACAACAGGTCTCAGCCTTGTCACAGTATTTGGTTGTCATCAGTGTCCAGCTCTGATATGATGTTTTTTCTGGCCTGTGATTCATTTCCAGCCCATCATTTCTTTCCCCACTTTATATATGAGTTTTCACACTTAAGAAAACATTTATACAAAAGTAAAGGAAAACATTTTTCCCACCTCCTGGGGATACAATCCAGTATGAGATGATAATGTGCACCTATAAAAATGAAAACAAATATTGAAAAAATATATGAAAATTACATAGAATAACAGTAATAGTCAAAGTGTATGTTTGTGTGCACATGTGTGCCTGTGATTTAGAGTTAAAGTTCTATAGCAGATGTTGAGAACAAACAGGACTTCAACCTCACAGCTGTTCGTGCAGATATGTAATGAAGGTTTGCCATACACAACTAAAACTGTTCTCAGGTCCTCATGAAGCAGACCGTCTCTTTTCTAGCTTCAAAAATTGTAATGTATGTCTGACCCAGTGTTAAAAAGGAAATAAGTCTTCTGGCTAAAAGGCTGACGTAAGAAATGCAATTTGACTGTACCATAAGAAGATGATTGTCTTGGATTTATATCAATTATTCTTCCAAGTATTTTGGAAAGGGCTTCAAAAATGGAGAACAAGTAACCAAAGAGACCCGGGTCAGACCAGAATGAAGCCTATAAGCTCGTGTTGCAGGTGAACTTCAGCCCACCAAATTTTAATGACCCCAGCAGTCAGACAGCCGCTATTTTGTCCTGCAAACCATAGTTCTCAGCTCTCAGTGTGGAGATACACTAGCATCAAAATTATTATTTGTTGAAGGTCCTGTTTTGTGAAAACTCGCCATGTCTTTTTAAAAATACAACAGGCATAGTTGCTACTTGAATACTGTAAAAGTGTGTGAATGCTCAGTCCCCAAAGAAGTGCACAGTCCATAATCAGAAACTGTGCCTTTAAACAAGCCATCAGGATTTCTGTTGTCACAACTAATCTTTAGGGACTGAATCACAGTGTTTATTTAGAACAACTTTTGTATAAAAATCCTGAGGCCCACCAAAAAAATCAATATCAATTTAAGTGTATGCTATGTTTAGAATATTTTCATCATATTACCTTCCCCTCAGGCAACTTTTTCTGATGGGAATTGAAGACTCCATTAACAAAACTAATAATTTAAGGTGTCTTAACAGATACAACAGCTGTTTTTCTTTCATTACCGTGCTGTCCATATGAAAATCACCTTCTTCACCTGACCTTTTCCAAATGATTGCGTCATTAAAGCTGCAGAGGAAATGCAGCGTTTCCCTGACTGACTGTGTGTTGTCACTGCAGGAGGATCCGACCTTAGAGAGACACTTCAAGGGCCATAAAGATGCTGTCACCTGTGCAGACTTCAATCCAAACCGCAAACAACTGGGTAATTTCTGCTGCCACCACAAGCTTTACAGAATGACAGCTGCTGTTTGGCAGTGTGTAGATAGTTGTGTGTAATCATGTCGGCACCCAAAGAAATGATCAATATTCTGTCAAATCACTGTTAAATCAATTTTATCTCTCACTTACTGTAACCTTAAACAGTATAGTTAAAGCACAGTTTTGGAGTAGTATTTATTAATCAGATTACTAGTAATGACTGTGCAACACCATGTGTAAACTAGGTCTTCATGTGACTCTTACATGTTGTGTCATCATCATCCTCAACACACTGACAATACGCAGCATATTGGCCTCATGAACTTTGTGATTTTCAGATGTTTTACCTCCAACTAGAGTTGCAGCGGTAGATGATTTTTATGGTGCGATAACTGTCTCAGAAATATCATGGTTTCACGGTATGCGGTATTAAAGGACTATTGTTATTGTTTATTCACTGTGATAACCTCTTTAAATATCAGTAATTAAAACCTGGACTGTTTGTTGTGGAAGTCTTGACTGAATCTTCTTCTTTTATTTCTGTTGTCTTCCTCCAGCCTCGGGATCAGTTGATAAGAGCCTGATGATCTGGAATCTGGCTCCAAAGGCGAGGGCTTTCCGCTATGTCGGCCATCAGGACGTCATCACAGGGGCGCAGTTCTCCCCGTCTGGTAACCTGGTGGCCACTTCCTCCAAGGACAGAACAGTCCGACTGTGGACTCCTTCCATGTAGGCTCCAGACACTTTTTCCACTTTAATCAGGAGCTCTTTGTTGACTTAGTCAATATGAAATGTGAAACAAATTTTCAATTCATTGTTTCTGTCAAAATGCTGGAGATTTAAGTGTGACTCAGTGAACTGGTAAGAGGGTCACAGATACTGCACAGGCTGAGGCTGCATGGTATGTGTGACTGGGTGAATCTGGGTTTTAAATCAGCTGTTTGTGTACTTTTGTGTTGCAGGAAAGGAGAGTCAACAGTGTTCAAAGCTCACACAGCGGCTGTTCGCAGTGTTGCTTTCTCCCACGATGGACAGAAACTGGTGACGGCGTCTGACGACAAGTCTGTCAAAGTGTGGAGCGTTCAGCGGCAGTGCTTCGTCTTCTCTCTCAACCAGCACACCAACTGGGTGCGCTGTGCCAGGTACGCAGCAGCACCACGGCCTCAGTAACTTATCGTGCTTCGGCATGTTTTTGTATCTCACAGGGGTGGGGGAAAAATCGATACAGCATAGTATCACAATATTTTTGTGTGGCAATATCGTATCATCACAAAGTGCTAAGTATCGATTTTTTATTGTAAAAATTATTAATCATACAAATACAAATTAAACTTTAGGTGACCTATTAGAATGATATAACCAATTGCTTTTTCAGTCCTTATTAAAATGTTTTGAATCAGGCTCTATGTGAAGCGTTTGGATGTTGGGCTGTAGTGTGCACTGTGAGTTTCATTTTTTTGTCTTGTCTTTACTGCAGGTTTTCTCCAGATGGACGTTTGATAGCGTCCTGTGGAGACGACCGCACCGTCCGGCTTTGGGACACGTCCACCAAAAACTGCATCAACTGTTTCACTGACTATGGAGAGTGAGTCCTTAAAGTGTCCTGTTAGTCCTCTCAGCTTTATTTTGCCGTCACCCTGGGCTCTGTTTTAGATGTAACTTTGTGACTAAAGAATTTCAGTCATTTTATCAAGTTGTCTCTGTTGTGTTATTGTTCTTGGCTCACAGTCTCTGGACATTATATTTTTCCCTCTGTAAATTCCAAACAGGAGATTTGAGGAGGGGGAGGATATAGTCTCATATCATAAGAGGCATGAAACAAAATAAATGTAGTGTAGTCATTGCTCTTTCTCTCCTGCAGATGGCATCGTTGTGTATTATTTAACTGCTGCAGGTCACCGAGTGTGTTTGTCATTGCAGATCAGCAACGTTTGTTGGTTTTAACTCCAGTGGCACCTGTATCGCTTCTTCAGGAGCTGACAGTTCACTGAAAATCTGGGATCTAAGGACCAACAAGCTGATTCAGCATTATCAAGGTATGTCAAAATGTCAGAGCGGTAATAACTCTGTATATTCAGTTTGGAAAATAATTACCTAAAATGTCCTTGTTAATTTCTGTGACCAAGACTATAACTGCTGTTCATGTTTTATTTGTGTGCGTGCATGTTGTTTATGTTTGTTGGCTCAGTCCACAGTGCAGGAATCAACAGCTTTTCCTTCCACCCATCCAACAACTACCTGATCAGCGGCTCCAGTGACGGCACCGTTAAGATCCTGGACCTGCTGGAGGGACGCCTCATCTACACCCTCCATGGACACAAGGTGATGCTACAGAACAGCTCAGTTCACCCACAGATAAGGCTGCACCATAGAAATGAGAACAGTATGAGCTTTACTTTTGTATTAAGCAGCAAAAAAGTTGTAACGTGACGTCTTTGACTTGACATGGCATGTCCTTCAGTGCGACTATTGTGCATGCACACATCACAATGATAATGCTGAAACGATATATATGGTGCAGCCCGACCCACAGACATCAGACACTATCAGACATTATATGCAGTCTAAGGAGCGTTATTCCTGTTCCAGTATTTCACTGGATTAGTCCTTGATGTTTATGAGGTTTCTCATTCACTCACAATGTTAACTTTGGTTTTCAGGGCGCTGTAATAACAGTAGCCTTCTCCAGGACAGGAGACCTGTTTGCCTCGGGGGGAGCTGATGGTCAGGTTGGTGTTTCATGACCACATAACAACCCTGTGTTTCCTGTACTCTCGGCAGCTTTTAACTTTAAGGTCATGTTTTTACTTCCTGTGGTAGAAAATCTGAGGAACTTTTGTAGCAGAAGTTTTGCTGGTCCTTCGATCCTCTAGGTGCTGATGTGGAGGACAAACTTTGACACCAAATCCTACAGAGACATCCTGCAACAACACAGCCGGAGGTCCTCCCCGGACCCACCGCCCCACCTGACTGACATCCACCCCAGAGGACCCCACCTTCACCACCCGCAGCCCTCAGCCATTCAGGTCACTTCAGTTTTACCTAACTTTTAAAAATTAATTAATTAATCAAATTAATCAAAATATGAACATAAATACACACACACACATTTGTACTAATAGATGTATACATCAGTCACAGTTTTTAATCGTCAATCTACATTGTAGTTTGCTCTGAGTAAGAATCAGTTATGTGACAGTACACAGTTTTAGTGTTTTCATACATGTCAGAGATGGTCGCCATGTCCTATAAAATTCACCTGTAGAGCCGTCCAGCGTACACTTTACTTTGTCCAAGTGTAGAAAACTCATAAGTTCTTCAGCCCACTAACTAACTTTTATCTGCAAATAATATTTATTAACCTGCTCAAGACTGTGCTAAATTCTGCTTAGAATAACTAGGTGGTAGTTAAGCTTGTCTGAGATCATATTAATATACAAGCTTAACAGGCATATTTTTTACAAACCATAACATCATCAAACACACAAGCTAACATAACAGAAGTACAACTTGACAAGACCAGGAATAGGATCAGGAAATAATCAAAGCCAAAAAGCAGTGTTCACCACATTAGGCAACCAAACATTATCTGGTCAGAGGGCCAGATAGTTCCCTGACCATCTCTGACCAGTCTTCATGCATTAACTGTAACAAGTGTTGAGAATTAGCATGTATGCTAAAACACTCAAGCAGTGCATCTGGTTTGTCCAATGTAATTGTGATCTCCATACCAAATAAAATCTAATAATAATAATTCTCACCCTTTACTGCTCGGACATGAAATATGGTGAAAGAGATCTGGTCCACTCGTAGCATCTGTGTGTTCAGTAAACTATAAAGGTGAGAAATGTTGTAAAGTTAAAAAAAAAGGGAGCAGCTGTATATGACGTCTTCTTTCTCTCCACAGATCAGTCCCATCGTGGCAGACACTCAGTCCACTGATCCACATGTCATAGAGTTGGGCCAGTCCGTTCACAGCACCACGGTAAGCTGGCACAGAGAGGTCTGCAGGAATGTTTTAAGATAGTTCCATAGCCCGGCAATAAGGTGGATGGCCACACAGTAGGTGTGTACTGAGGCATCCAGTCCATTCAATCCACACTGAGTCCAATTTAGTATTGTCCTCAGGAGCAACACAGCTTATCAGGTGCTGGATTTTGAACCTCCACAAAAGCAGGCTGCATATGAAGTATACAGATTTATTTATTAAGGGTTCAGACCCAGAGGGCTGAAACCTTGTCATGAAAGGCCCCCCCCCCCCCCCCCCCATATTGTATGTCAAATTGACTTGAAATTTGACACACATGTCCAGCTCAATGTGCTCTGAAAAAAGCCTCAAGAACCATTATGGTGCACTGGACTACATTTTTTAATTTTTAGAAAAACATTTTGACATGTCCTTTTGTACCCAAGTTTCTGTGGGTCATTATTGGACCAACCTTAATCAAAACGTATCAAAAGTTTGTTGATATCTCACTGCATTTTGAAGATATTGACCAATGAACTTCAGAGGGGGCACATAAATCAAACTAACTCCACAACCTTTGGTCCAATCATCACAAAACGTGCAAGCAATGCCATAAGAGGTACCAGGAACATATCCTAAAAATTTTATTTAAATTGACCACTAGGGGGCACAGCAAGTGCAAAAAAAAAAAAAGGGCATGTGTGATAATACAAATCAGACTATAAATCATAAATGTATTGTCCAATCATTGCAAAACTTGCAGGGTATGTTAAATAATAATGATGAACCATGTGTGTTTAATAATTTTGAAATTGGTCAATAGGGGGCGCCGCCAGTTTCAAACAAGTGAAATGGCCTTTTGCGAAATTTGGCCATAAATCAATGAGGGTTTGTTCAAACATCAACAAACTCAGTGGACTTTTTCAACTAAGCCTTTAAAGCATGTCCCCAAAATGACTTTGCAGTCAACCAATAGGGTGCAACAGAGCCTCCAAAGAAGAGCATGGCCTGGTAGAGGTTTGGACGTTAATGAATGAGCATCTGTCTGACTGTCATAAAATCTGTTGGCAATTTTTAATGCAGGAATCCTAAACTGTCAAAGGTCTTGATCTGACCCACCTTTCAAGTTTTAAAGGTCCTTGCTGGTTTGAACTCTGGGAACTGCCGCTTTCATTTTTCGACTAACGCTACCAACCTAGGGGCCTTGATCCATCATTTATAGATTAGTGTTTACATAGATTTGTGTTATTTAACCAGCAGTCAGTGAATATTAACCTTCACTATGCACACGCCAAAAAAAGAGGTCTTGAACCTGAAAAAAATGTCTCAAGATTCTGTGTGCATCATTACATTTGTTAAAATGGAAGTGGATCTCTTGTGTCGTGCGAGAGATGGTTGTTGACTTGTATGTTTCCATTTACATATAATGCACCACATGATAAATAGACACAACAACTTACAACACAGAAGCAGCAATACTCAGCTGCTTCAGCATATCTAAATAAGTATATTGATGCCTTTTAAGGGCTGAAATGAAAAGTTTGTGCCTGTAAAAATTACTCCGCTATCATTACTGTTAATGGAACAGATTCAAGATGTGTATATTTGAGAGGGTGTGGGCTGTTCCCATGAACACCACCAGGTGGCAGTACAGACTAGTCTATAGTTTTGCCCTCCTGCTGCAGCAGTGACAGCTGCCTGAAAGGACATCAGGCCATTCACCTGTTAGAGATGAGGTGATGTCAGTCGAAAGCAACACTGTCTGTCTTCCTCTTTCATTTGTGTTTAAAAAGCTTTATTCAGCATCATGTTGTTCAGAAACACACTTTTAATTTTACAGCTTTGTATGTTCACACACCAGAGCTGCAGAGCACAACCACAGCTCAGTGATTACTTTCCTAAACTGTTGGATTTAATCATCTTAACTCGTGAATGAAGCTCAGATGAAATGTTTCCTCTAAAAGCTGCAGTACGGTTAAGTTTTATCATCCCTGTTGAACATTTGTCCTGGAATAAATGTTCTATTCTCAATCTGTTTTCAGATTCAGATGTAAAAAGGATCATTTGTGAGACTTTGAAAAGCCTGTATGAGTTTGATTTTCATCAACATTACCACATACGAGAGCAGCAGGGGAATATGTGTCTCGCTTCAGGACACTTTCTCCAACTTTTTCAGCAGACCTCTTGGACTTGTCTTGACCCAACAACCTTGTGGAAGCCACGCTGTGTTTTCCAGATCTTTCCTTTCTGTTGTTTGTATTGTTGCTGAGGGCCCATCTGGGATGACAGGGCGCTGACCCGGCCTTGAACTTGCTGCTCAAGTTCACATTATGTTGCAAGGTGAAATCCTGGATGTGAATTAGCGCTATCCGCTTACTCCGCTAATGCTGATCCCATACAAAGGGGTAGAAACATGAGATTGATGAAGGTGGGTCTTAATGTACAGGTGTAATGAGTATTAGGAGAAAAACATGCTTTCACAGAAGTGAGGAAGATTGTTAAGATGTAGAGTTTGTGGATAACATATCATATCCACTGGCATGTTAGAGACCACAGAATACTAGCTCATGAATTTGCGTATGGTTGCTGTAAACTACACCAGAGTTTGTGGTGTGTTTCTACTGGGATAGTTTGTTTTGTTTTCAGCCTGGCATCTAGGAAAGTGTCTCACCCTGAATCATCTGAGTCCGTCGTCTAGATTCTAAAAATGCATTCATTACAGTTAAAATGCTGCAGGTTCCTAGTGTCGTCTTGAGTGGCAGGAGCAGGATCAGCAGCCTGTTCCTCCTTCACGCAGCATCCCAGAGAAGTTACAGGTAATTACTGCCCCCTACTGTTGTAAAGAAGAATCACAGGTCTTTAAATGAAAAGTCTGCTGGCCACAAGGGATTTTATGAAGACAAAATAATCCAGCATGATTTAGTGATATGAACTGACTGTAAATATTAAGGCATAAATAGTGGTAATGTAGCTCTCACTGTGCATTAGTTATACACCCATCACTCACACAAAAAGCTTTAAACTTCTACTTATACAGTACGCCATAAAACAATCATATCGTATTGCAAATTGAATATGGAAGCAGCTTTTAATGATTTATAGTGATATTTATATTCTGAGCAGCATGAAAATGTTCTCATGTTTGTGTAGTCATAAGCACACGAATGTGAGTTTGGACATGTTTTCATATTTTGGATATGGATATAGTTTCTAAAGTGAAATGGTGCACATAATTTTCCTTCAGGGCTGTGACGTGTTTGAAAAGTCAAATAGTGTGAAGGTCTTTTGAGTTCTCTGCACAGCTGAAGGACTAACAGGAAAAATGTTTTATGTGTGACTTCACACTACGACTGAACAACCAAACGTATTTGTTTTTAATGATCCCTTTTTCAGTCCCTGTAAAATGTTGTGAGTCTACATGAATAAAAACCCTTATTGCTGCAGTAGTAATTTTCCTTCAGCGCGCTGCCCCACTTCTCTTAGTGTCTCCTTCCCTGCCGTCGGCTCCTGTGTGGGAGGAAACCCATGAATGGACCAAGCCAAGTGGAAGTCATTTAGAGCGAGGATGGCCAAGTCAGATAAGTGGTTTTGGTTCAAGACTGCAGTAAACACACAGTTGCACAACAGCCATTCATGACTTACAATGTTCCGATGTCAACATGGAGCTGTGCAGATGAATGGGCAGAGGAAGGGGCCGGTTTTAATCTGCATGGTTTATCATTTCTGAGAAATTATCAAATGTAGAAAAGTCATTAAAAGGACTGTTTAAAATAAATGTACACCAAGTACAGACTTAGCTGAATGTTTCTCTACACACCATGAATTCATGAAAGCTTTAACATTTGTATGCAAATGTTACGTCAGTCTTAACAGTAAATGTGTCTGGGAGCTCTCTTTAGGGATGCGAGACCTGATCTACGTTACATCTCAACTAAAAAGGAGAATAAGTGTTATTAGTTATTACTTCTGTGTTGAAATGACGCAGTACCTTTGGCCATAGGTGCTGATTTATATTTCTGCTGGTGGGTGCGCAAAACAGAGCCTTTACTCTGTTGCTATTTTTAAGCAAGTTATGTATTTTATGTCATGTGTTGTGTTCTCTTTTAACTCTTAACTTTCTTTGTTGACTGTCAGTTTTACATAACAGCACTAACATAATTAAACTAACTTAATTACATGGCTGCAAATAAACAATAACAACTTTTAATAGCAAAATATAACCGCAATCCGGCCAGCGGTCACTCACAGCTGTTTTATTTTGGGAGCATATTGTACAAAAAAAGGAATCCAGTGAAGTGGCAGCTTCTGACTTTTCTCAGAGGAGAAGCTAAACTAGTTAATATCTATATCAGCAGGAAAAACACAACAGGACTGGAAAAGTCAGGAGGTCACATACACGTGGCTCTGTACACACAACAAACAGCTCTGTCCATGGTCCTGACATTTTAGAGACACTATCTATACACTGAAATGACACCTCTCCTGGCACAGCACAGATATTTATCAATCAGTCGTCACTGATGATACCATGAAGTGCACTGAAAAAATAATAAAAGCTGCTAAAATTATTTAATAAAAAGACTCACATGAACACAAATCATAACACTGAGTTCTAACTGGATATGAGCGTCAGACTATTGTGCCAGACAAATCACTTACCCAGCAGCTGTGGTCTCAGAGTAACCACTGAAAAGGTGGGTTAGTGCGTACTTATATGTAATAATAATAACAATAATAAAAATAGAAACGAGGCATCGAACAAAATTCCAGCTTGAAATAGCGCGCTGCCTCATGTCACGTGACTTGTGGGCAGTTAGGCCAGTCCAATCGAACACAATGCAATCTTGCTGATGCTCGCTCGCATCACATCCAGTTAGCACACGGTATAAGCCAAATGCACAAGTCAACACAGCTGATCACCAACAGTCAGCTGCATCAGCCATTAGAAGCAGCACTGAAGAACCGTCTCTGTGAACCACTCTCCTCCTGCTCTCGTTGCCTGGTTAGCAAAAGCTAAT